GGGGGGAATCCGGGCCGCTGCTGGGACAGGGCGAATCCAGGCGGGACCAGACGCCGTTAACGCCAGTTGCTTTCCACAGGGCTCCTCTCTTGTCCCGGAGCCGCTGCCAGCACTCGAGTGAGTACAGCCCACCCCGACGTCCCCGGGAAGGACGCTCCCACCTGCCCACCATGTCACCAACAAGCCCTCCCAGTGCAGGGCGGCCCCTTCCCCAGAGCCCCAGGCCTAGTGCCGGGCAGGAGTGCCTGGCCTTGGCTCCGGAACCCCAGAGATGCCCCAGATGGTCTCTCCCCACCGCTGTGAGACCCCAGGAGCCTGGCACCCACCTGCTAAGGGCTGCAGGACATACGCCCTGGTGACTCCAGCCAGCTTCATCTGAGGTTGCCCTTCATGGGGACTTGCCGTCCATGTGTCCCACTGACATAAGACCTCTGAAGGAGCCATGTTCTGTAGCATGCATATGTCCTGACACCACAGCTCAAGCTGTGCCAGGCAGTAGAAGCCCAGCCTCAAGCGATAAATTCCCCCAAGAGCATGAAAGATAGTGTGGCACTTTGTAACACTGTGCCAGCTCCTGTTGAGTGCTCCTTTCTGTGCATGAGGGTGCCAGTATTCTTCAGAGGCTCTCAGATCAGAAGCTGATCAGAAACCTGTTTCAAATGGTGTACCTTAGACTTCTTACATACCTGTCTTCCCTAGCCTGCTTGCTACAGGTATGGTGTGCCTGGATGTCCAAGGGACTACAATCCAGTTTGTGGGACCGATGGAGAGACCTACTCAAACGAGTGTGTGCTCTGCCTTTCAAACAGGTAGTTACTTAATTGACATCCTAACTTTCCCTTCCCTACATGCAAGCAAAATATTCACCTTCACATCCCAACTGACTGATAGATTATTGGCTTTGGATCTTTCACACTCTGTCAAACTGCAGTTTTAGCAGTGTCTCCTCGACTGTCGATCCCTTGCAACAGCGTTTAGCATGATACCTGTAAACGGCTTAGGTTGGATACAGTTAGCTGGGAGTACTGAATATTCACTTTTGTCATTCTTAAGGAGGAGCATCTCAAAAGGGTGATGCCTGTCGCAGTAATACAGTGCCACATCGCCATTAAATATAATGCCAGATTATTACCACACTCTCCATCAGAAAACATGAAATACCCCAGCCAAAATGCAGCTTTTACTACAAAATGTTTACATTTAAGATCCAATCTCCTGTACTTCCTTTCACAGAGAAGAGTAAGAATGCCAACTGTTAGGAGAAAATACTATTTTGCCATTCAGATTGCTTAAAAATCAAGAAAAAGATCTCCTAATATTCGAGAGAGGGTGTTTTATTCTTTAATAATTTAATCTTTTTTTAAAAAACAAATTGAAACACAGAAAATCAGTTCTTAGTGAGCGTTGTTACCCTCCATTATGATTGACTGGAAACTTCTGTAGAGCATTCATTCAGTACAAACTGAGAGGAACTGCTTATGAATTGAACTTGATGGTGAAAGGAATTTATATAAATGAAATAACAGAATTTCCGTTGCCAGCAGAGGGAAGAAGTGAGAGCAGCACAACAGCAGTGATGGGCATTTACAAAATCATAAATAGATAGGTCTCAAGAAAGGGAAGGCTGAAATATGTTACTGACTTTGGGGTGGAGGAAAGATTAGTTGTGACCAGATAATTTACGAAGTTCAAATGACTAAGATAGAGGGAACATAGGCCAGAATAAGGAAAGTGTCAAAGGTATCAAAGGACACTTAAGGAAATAATATTTTAAAGAAAGTGCTGAAGTGTGTCAAAGTATGTTTAAAGGTATGCAGATCAGCAGAATTTGGTAATGTTTTCACCAGAGTACCTCACAAACTACCCAAGCAAATGACAAATTGCAAAGAGAATTGGTAAATCTACAGTCTGAAAAAAAAAAAAAAAAAACCCACAACAAAAAACCAAACACAGCAACTAGGGAATCAAAGGGCACACACAGTACAATCTGTGAAAAGGGGAGAAAAAAGTTGCTCGTGTGTTACACATTAGGAGCCCACTCATCTTTGCTGCCTAGAACGATGTTGGAGTAAGTTGTAAAGCAATTGACTTGCACACAGCAAGAGGTAAAAAAGAGAGTAAGCAAAGCTGGTACAGATTTTTCAGAAATAATCTGATCAAATCTGTGAGATTTAGATTTTTGGCAAGATAACTGGCCTAGCAGAGTAGGAAGCAACAGAACTGTTGCTCAATGACATTAATAAGGCATTTTACATAGCTCCACTTGACATGCACATAAGCAGACAAATAATTATTCAGCTGAACTTGTTAAAGGTTGAAGTCACAGCAGCTTGAAACGCTGTGGTTTAAAAGCAGTAATCAGCATTTCACAGTCACACTGGAAAGAGCTATTAAGTGGGATTTCCTTTAGGTGTAGTATATAATTCAGTATTTTTGTAATGAATTTGATATCAGAAACAAAATAAAAATTTGCAAAATGATGTGAGATACAATGATCTGTGCAGGACAGTGTCAAAATTCCCAGGGATCTGGAGAAATGGACCGAAATCGGTACAGTAAAAGTCAAAGACGAGTGCTAAGTATCACACACAGAGAGCGCAGATCCACATCGCAAAGATATAGGCAAGAGAGTGTCTCACAACCTAAACAGTGTATTTGATCCTTTCTCAGAGCAGAACAATGGGCTTTGAGATTCAGCCTTATATTTTTAGGATGTTTCATTTCGGGGGCATGATCCCTCAGTTCCAGACGGGTGCATGGCAGATCCCTGAATACAGCATTGCACATAGCACAAAGGACTCTCTAGACAAACCTGCTGTTTCTTTCCACTCAATTCCTTCACTAATTCATGGTGGGCATTACATCTTATTAGCATGAGATATAATGTACATGTTTTGTGTGAAACACAGGATTTAATCTGGTTACATACACAAGATAGATTTTTATCTTAACCATCTTTTTTTGCTAGTATCTTACATGCTCAGAAACACGCATTTTTGTCTGAAGGGGCACAGGGAGACTATCCTGATTTTTTTTTCTTTAATAATTCAGTAGTTGGCATACTCAGTGGCTTTCTAGTTCAGTCTGGAGTTGTTGTTCTAAAGTGTTTGACTCGGCATCAACACAACAAGGATAAACCACTTTGTCTTATTGGAAGAATTTCAGCTTTGAAAAATTGTTCATAGTCATAAGCAACGGTCATTTCACTTCAAGGAGTCTAAGGTACAGTCCATCCCACTCTTTAGGAGAGGAAAACAAAGAGATCTTTCTGCCCTTCTTAACAAGCTGCATGACTAGTAGTTGCTGAGATAAATATTGTAATGTGGTGATGTAGAAACAGATACACGGGCATATCTCATAGTGGATTATAAAACAGTCACTTCTAAATTAACTTAGGTGATTCTCAACAGCCAGATTGCAGGTCACTTCCAGCCCATGTTTAAGCCCATTAAAGGACTTTTTAAAGGGAGTTGTACGTCCCTGATGGCCAAGGTCATACCGTCCATGGGTTCTTTTATCTGTGCAAGAGTGCATGGGCACCTGGAAAGCCCCGTGAACATCAGGAGTACTGCCGGAGAGGTTGCTGTGGCTGATCCATGATGACATGAGACACCTGCAGCAAAAGTGCAGCACAAACTCTGCCCATCCTGATTCTGCAGTGCAGCCCATTAACTGTAAGACCACAGCTGGTCTTCCTGCCTGCCTTTTTTTTTCTTTTTTATAGCTTAGTTCTAATTCATTCATAAGAGGGTGCTCAAATGCAAATCCCAGGTCTCTTTCACACTCAGTGTCCAGTAGCAATGACAAAAGTTGATCTTAATTTAAACCTAGCCTGGCAGCACTCAAGCAGCTTGAGCTGCTTCTGCAGGGTTTAGCATAAGGGCTATCCTTCAGCTGAACTTTTCCTTTCATCTTTACATGTGTTTTACATCCCCTGGGCTTGATTTTTCCTTTCGCATTCCTAATCTGTTCCACTACCTTCTGGTTAAAAGATCCCTGATACAAATACTAGTGCAGATTATCCCTGCTTTTGGGTAATCATAAACCCCTTGAATTTCATGAGAAGTAAGCCAGCTTGATTCTATTAAGATAGAGAAGTGAAATGAAGATCTAGGGCATTCTATCTCTTTCTTTTTGTAGCTACACTTGCTTGGTAAACTGAGATTCGTAAATGGAGTGCCTCAAAGTACCATGTATGGAACTTCCAGAAAAAAAGTCTAATGTTCCCAAACTAAGGGACACTTGGCTAAAATTTCCTCAAAGAAGATTCCAGTGTTCAGAGAACCACACATTCAAATTTTAGTGAAGCCTGGGATGCAGAGATGCATCAGGATGCACACCCTTCCCACTGAAATCCCACATGAAGGCAAGAAATATTGTAAGCATTAGAACTATTTCCCACTTCAGGGACTGTGAAGTTGCACTTGCATTAGTGCTTTGTAACAAAAGCTTTAGTCCTCATTGCGAAATTAGTCCTGTGGTTTGATGCTTCTCAGATTTGCAGATAGCTTTATCAGGTTTTTATAGGTAACAAAGCCTGAAGTGAGGTTGCCTCTGGTAAGCTACTCGCTCTGTGTGTGAGTCATAAATCTTTGCATCACAGTTACTTTGCAGTAATGTTGCCGTAAGCGATGCATTTAATTGAACACATAGAAAGACATAGGAGAGTCTGCTTTATAAAATGTCTCTGTTAAATTCAAGTAGTGCTTCCCTTCTAAAATATTTTTCTTCTGCTTGCAGTGAAAATAATAAGGATGTCCAAATTTTCAAGGAAGGAAAATGCTGATACGACAGATGGCCACTTTTCAAGAAAATGAGAGGGACATAGCCCAAACAGAAACAATGCTTTAAATGTACTTTCTATGTAGCTTGTCTTAATAAATAAGCTTGCCTGTTTAAACAAAGTACTGTTACTGCATTGAAACCAGTGTTTATAAACAGCCATAGTACACTTATAACCTGAACCTTGACTTATTTTCTCATGGAAGACAGACCATAGGGTAAGAAAGGGATGTCCTGACTGTATACCAGTTAGTCAGTTGTTTGGAGAAGGAAATGAGCGGGTACCCAGTGCCATTTCCACAGCAGCACCTGGGAGCGAGGAGGCCCCACCACCTCTGTCACGGGCAGTGCTGGCAGCAGCTGCTCGTCATTTCTGGGAGGATCTGAGCCCACAGGTGTCAACAGCCCCTGGGGAGCCACCAGAGGGGTTTCCTGTGGCAGCTACCAAACTGGTGAGGGCACCCTGACATGTGTCAAGCCTCTGCCCCAGGCTCCCTACCTGCTGGTCCTGCTGGCAGTGGGCAGCAGCCTTGGCACCCTCTGCTCCTGCTGCCCATAACGGCTGTTTCAGAATTCTGGAGCTGTGGGCAGCGGCATGTGCTGCTCCCCAGGCCCCCGGCCCTCTGGGCTCTGCTTCCTGGGGCACCAGTGTCACCACCCTCGTCTGGCACCTAAGAGCCACTTACTATGGCAAACACGAAAGCAAAAACGGAAAACTCAAGACTCGAGTAAAACGGCGCGTTCCGAGGCAGGTCTGGCGGACCTTCCCACAGGAAGGGCGTGCAAGTACTGGGGTTCGGTCCTTTCCTTCACCCACTTTGTCATGCACGTGGGCACATCATAGCCTTTCTTACGTTTGTTTTCTTCTGTTCTGCTAAACGCCTCTGTTGTCTGCATATTACTTGAAATTAATTGTATTTGGGTCGTCTTATGGTGCGTTGGTAACATACGGGGGGCTTCTACCTTTTGATCCAAGCCAAGTGGCACCAGCTCTAGCCTTGGCCCCAGGCAACGGCTTCGTCAGGCTTCGCCGGGCAGCAGCAGCACAGGCAGAGCTGTACAGCACACTCCATGCCTGATGAACATTTACAGGTCAGTGACTTCAGTTTTGGAAAACAATAATGCTTTTGTCTTATAGTTCCTTTAAAGATCGAAGCTATTCTTATTTTCCAGCACACACCAGCTTTCATTTCCATCGGGCACAGACTAATCATTGACGGAGGGATGTCATGTGTGGCACAACAGGAGGGCTGGAAGCTTAGGATAAAGTGGTCACATGGAGACATGAATATGTAGATGGAAAAGAAAGATGACCAGTGTCTCCCAACAAGGTGTTGATTGCGGATGGAAAATCAATTTCTCTGTTGGTGGCAAATCCATTTGAGAAAGTTCCTGTGTGCTCCTAGCTGTTGTTTCCATATCCAGATCTAGAAATTTTCACTTTTGCAAATTGTACCAAATGCCAAAGCATTTGTGTGCTATGCTATGGATTAACAAGTAGATGGAAATGATAAGCCATTTCTTTTTGTATTGCTGTTTTGCTAACTAACTGTGCTTACAAGGGAACTTTAACAACTGCAGTCTTGTTAGTTGTAGAAATGCTCATTCAGTATTTGACAAAAGTGTGCACAGCATTGCATATTTTTGCAAAACTCAGAAAAAATATCTGGGTTTGTAAACATCACTGAATGAAACAAATCCAAATAAAAAATAGCACATAGGCTGACAATCACAATCACACTAGAGCATTGGGTCCCAGCATATGAATGCTTAAGATATAACCTTAGAAGTGACTTTAAATTGTCCTATTTTTCTGTGTATTTGAGAAGTGGTGAATACAGCACTGCATGTAATTACTCACCAAATCTGCCCTCGACATCTGTACTTCATTTTCTGTACATTAAAAAGTTCTGGCAATTCCCACAGGTAAATTTTGACAGCAAGATTTGTGAGAAAGAAGTGCAGATGTATGTCTCAGATCCTACTTCTTTCTAGCCTTACCCAAGAGGAGATACCTCTCATTCAGTAAAGACCTACAGAGAAGGCGGATGGAATCATTCCTGTGCTTGGAGTCTTTGTTGATGTGCTTAGAGTCTTCAAAGGTGAATGCCACTTCGCAGTAACTTCTGTCTATGAAGACTAAGGGAGAAGGATTACTATGCAGGGACAGAAATTTCCTTATCATGGTCTGAAATAATCTTGATGGGTGTTTGATATATTTTTAAACATTATTATAAAGTTTCAACATTTCTTATAGTGTATTTTATTATGAAGTTATATTATTGCTTTATGTAGTGTCATCTTCTTTATGTGCTTTGCAACAACGAAAACTAAAATGTAGAAAAATAAATTACTCTTATTGTTGTCAACTGGATCCTTTCAGAGCTGAATTTAAAACATCACTTGTATTCTTTCCCAAACTCAAAATAAAACAAAAAACAAAACAAAACAAAACAAAACAAAACAAAAAAACAACAACAACAACAAACAACAAACCAGTATTGTACTCCTGTTTGGCATTTATAAATCTTTATAGATCAAAAAGTTGATGTCTCCAAATTTCAGTACAGTGGACTTAATTTTTGTTTAAAATCAGAACTTTGTGGTGCATGTAGGACAATGCTAGAAAGGCTTAATCATATCATGCCTTAATCCTCACTCAAAAAAAATCCTTTCTCAAACCCAGAAAAAAAAAAGCAGTAATGTATTCCAGTTGGGTGTTTATGAACCTTTATAGCTCAAAAACATGGTGAATTTCAGTATGATAGGCTCAATTTTTGTTTTAAGTTTAAACTGTACATTATGTTTAGAACAATGCTGGTCTTATTCATATGAAGAGTAGGACTCACATTTCTAGAGTAGGACTCTAAGGCTTCCTATGAAGCCTTAGGACAAGGCTTGCATGTATGAAGAGTCCTCACTCTTATGATTTAATCCCATTGCCTTCAGTGGTGCTGTTAGAGGTCCATTTTACATACAGGTGAGGTAGGAAGTCATCTAGATGACAGAGTGCTAGAGCTGCAAAATTAAATGGCAAAGAGGGAAAGACAGCCTGTGGGTCTTGCATCAGTGGGTTAACATTGATGACTTCCATGTGCTCAAATTGCCCAGAATTTGAACAATCTAGTTGTTCCCAAAATTGTCAGCCTCTTTGGCTGCAGGAATGGTTTCACTGCCGGCAACTCTTGCCTCTGTTGCTCAGGCAATTCACCCAGCAAAGTGGTTTTTGGAGCCAGACTATGCTCCTGTCCTTCCTATTTCTGGAGTCATTGGATTCCAGAAGTGTGTTACTTGGAGGTTCAGAGTGAGATGAAGTACCCAGTCGCTGAGACCATAGCCGCATCGCACTGGGTCTGGCAACCCTCTCAGTTTCGGTACCCAGAGCTCCTTGGAGTAGGTGGCATTAACTTTTCCACTAAGTCAAGGCAGAGGCATTTCTTTTCTCTTGAGATTCTTTTTCTTTTAAACTTTTTACATTATTCTTCCTATTGTAATAAATAAACAGAATTGAAAGCAAGAGTTGCCCGGAATCTCCTTATTTATGCAAACTCCTTCTAATTGTACTTTTATTTGCATGTGTCTTCACCCTCCAGGCAAACTGGTTTTTTGGCTGGAACATTTCTGAAAGTTTATTGCAACTGCTGTAGCTATGTTGCCCAACTTTCCTTTTGCTCTCTCTTATTCCATTTTAAATTGTGCTTTATGCTTCTTGCTGTACTTCGAACTGTTTAAACATACATTTCCAGCTGGAGCTAAGAAGTGTATTTCTCTCTAGCAGAGAGACTGGTGTATAGCATTGAGTTATACCATGCCTGGTCTGACAGGAATTGACAAAATCCCAGCCTTGAAATTAAAAATTGACTAGTACAGGACTACTCATCAGTGTTGGGTGACCACCATGTTCAATTTATCAATCAGATGTATTAAAATCCGTATGTCACTTTGATTGCTCAAAGTGTTGACTGGCATCTACTCATGGCATCTATGAACTAGCTAAAATCAGCAACATACATAGAAGGATGTTACTCCAACCTTTGGACATCAACAAACCTTATGCCAAGCATTCTCGTTTGCTTATTTCGGCTGCGTGAGGCTAACAAGGGATTATACTAGCCGAATGGCATGATTGTGAAACAAGTATGAAAGGATCTCTTTTCTGTCTGAGATCAACTGCTGGATAATATTCTGTTTGATTAGGATTTTATTACATTTTCTGACTTCCCAGGATCAGCACAGTCTTCATCTGACTGGGAGGAGAATGTGCAGCCATCCATCTAGGTCGAATTAACGTGAGAAGATGTCTTACAGGCTTTTGCTAATGAAGGGTAGGTACAAATGGCTTTGTTCTTGGTTGAGCTTTTTTAATTTATTAAATTCCCAACTCTCCTTCTTGTGAAAATAAAATAAAAAAAATGTTCAGGAAACATACATAAACAAAATGTTCCTTGGACTCCAGGCACTGTTGCCCAGCAGACACTGCAGTGTGTTTTCTGGGACAGCTGGGATCCAGCTCCAAGCTTAGTTGTGGGTAGTTTAGAAGTGCTCAGCCTTTTTGCTTCAGGCACTCTTTTGAGGGTTTGCAGGTTTCCTCAACCAGGTGGTACCACACTTCGGTTTGAACAAGAAGGAAAGCATCTCTCCTTGAATTGCTGGCAGAGTCTTTCAGGACTGGGGATCCTGAAGTTCTCTTATGTGTGATAGAAATGTATCAAACTCACCACGCTTCTATTGAAATATTTAAGGCTCAAAAAATATTGTTAGCTGCTGAAAACCCTTGTCTATTATAGAATCATAGAATGGTTCGGGTTGGAAGGGACCTCAAAGATCATCTAGTTCCAACCCCCCTGCCATGGGCAGGGAAACCCTCCACTACACCAGGTTGCCCAAAGCCTCATCCAACCCGGCCTTGAACACTTCCAGGGATGGGGCATCTACAACTTATCTGGGCAACCTCTTCAGTGCCTCACCACCCTCTGAGTGAAAAATTTCTTCCTTATATCTAAT